GACAATCTTATTTAAGTTTACAAGATTGTCTGGGAGATTGATAAGGGTTCAGAGTAGGGTTACTATGATGAAAGTGTTATCTAACAGGAACAGTTAATATCTCTTAGATTATTTACTCTTAAGAAAAGAAGAGTAGAAGACAATCTTATTTAAGTTTACAAGATTGTCTGGGGGATTGATAAGATAAAAGACTGATTTGTTAATTCTGAGGACAATAGGACAAAAAGTTTAATAAGAGTCGAAGAAGACATTCTAGGGTGCAGCTCAGACAGTTATTTCTTTGAACAGGGTGACTGATTTATGGAATGAGTTGCCCTCAGCAGCAGTGAAAGCCTGCATCGTACAAGAGTTTAAGAGAAAAATAGATTATTTTCTGAGAAATAACAGGTAGATTTAAACTTTTACTTTTTCTCACAGACAGATGCAGTGGAACAGTCATACATAACTAATCTTAGAAAGACAATGCTTTGGGCATGTTGCACTTATACTGATGATATTCTTATATCCAATTATCATGTTTTTCTTGATGTAGCCAAAATGAATTCATCCACTAGGACCAACTCTGGAAAAAAAGTACTTTTACTGAAAACAGTATAAAAGTCTCTCATTGCACTTTCAACACAAAATTAATTCATTTACTAATCATGGGTTCAGAATAACATGATCTTTTCAAAACTATCACACCTACATTTTAATTCCTTTGTAAATTGTTTAACGCAATAGTGAACCACTTCAGTGTATTGTTCACTATTAGTTTAAGCTCTTATTATATAATAAATACTAGCAATATAACAGTACTTGAAGCTAACTGCTAATGTGTGTGTGTTTTGTAAGTAAGGTAGACAGTTACATGAACATTAAATCTACAACAGTAGTTGAAGCTAACTGTTAATGTTTGTGTGTTCTGTAAGTAAGGTAGACAGTTACATGAACATTAAATGTACAAACAGTACTTGAAGCTAACATCTAATGTTTGTGTGTTCTGTAAGTAAGGTAGACAGTTACATGAACATTAAATCTACAACAGTAGTTGAAGCTAACTGTTAATGTTTGTGTGTTCTGTCAAGTAAGGTAGACAGTTACATGAACATTAAATCTACAACAGTAGTTGAAGCTAACAGCTAATGTTTGTGTGTTACGTAAGGTAGACAGTTACATGAACATTAAATCTACAACAGTAGTTGAAGCTAACTGTTAATGTTTGTGTGTTACGTAAGTAAGGTAGACAGTTACATGAACATTAAATCTACAGCAGTAGTTGAAGCTAGCTGTTAATGTTTGTGTGTTACGTAAGGTAGACAGTTACATGAACATTAAATCTACAACAGTAGTTGAAGCTAGCATCTAATGTTTGTGTGTTACGTAAGGTAGACAGTTACATGAACATTAAATCTACAGCAGTAGTTGAAGCTAGCATCTAATGTTTGTGTGTTACATAAGGTAGACTATATTATTTCTTTATTGTTACTTTCATTAGCAATACTATATCAGATTTTATTATCTTTAATTCTTATTATTACCCCAATGAAGAAACAATGTATTCCAATTCTTTTAGGTAAGAAAAATATATTTAATGAGCTATGATCTTTATCAGATTGATTTTTAGTTTTTCTCTAAGAAGTTAGTTAACTCTGATTGGAAGTTAATATTACATTGTTATCCATGACGCTATGTTAATATTGTACAAACCAAAGGGGAACAGGATTTAGAAAATCACTTTAAATATTTCTGTTTTCATCTAGAAATTTAATACACTTCAAAACATTTGATATTAATGAAATCTTACTCATTAGCACTGGACATAAAGTAGGCTAACACATTTGGTAAAGGTGATAGTGAGAATGTAGGTATAATTCCTGTAGTTTTCATCGTTAGAAATACACTATGCCCCTGGTTGTGAAATTATAATATAAGAATTTTTTTTAAAAGAAAAAAAAGGGTTCAGTAATCTTTCAACTGATAAAACTGCTGCTTCATTGTTTTTTTTTAGTTATACCTTCAGTAAACTTGGCTTCTAACTGAAGCAAATATCTAATATTCAATTTTAAACATGAGCTAGATCATTAAATTGTATATAAATAAATAACACGACTTTACTTATTTTTCACTGCAATTGGAAATTACATAACAAATGACACAAACCTTTTGGAACAGGGCAAGGTACATACTGACTTTCTTCAAATTCTATTTTCTGTCCTTCCATGATAAGTGAAGGGCCTTCATTTTTAGGATTTCGTTTTAAACGTTCGTACAAAGGTCCTAAACATTCATAGCAATTAGGATAAATTAGTAGATACTCTTAAATTTGCTATACAGTAACGTAAAATTCCACTGTTCTGGAGAGCTAGTATTATTAATAGTTTGAAAAATAGGTAACTATACTATTATCACAGAAATAACTGAATATGAACATTATATAGAAGTACACAAATAATGTAAAAGTTGATTAAACTAGTGTATTTCAGTAAAATAATTAGAGCACATTAATATTACAAATATGATTAGCAAGCAATGCTATAAAAAGGCAAATTTAATAATTAAAACACAATCAACTTCTGTTTGGCTATGTTAGAAATTTAAAAGAAGTTGTTTTGCTTTGCTAGCATCATTATGTGTACATCATTACAGAAAATAAATATTTATACAGTACACTGTCTACGGAAAACTTGGTCCTGACATCATTCTAGCCCCACATTTTACTTTCAGAACAAAAGAAGACATCCACAAACTTTTGTTGTAATATCTAATTATACAAAACAAAATAGGTTCATACTGCAATAAAATCTGAATACTGACTAAGTGATAGGGCTTACATTTAAGTTAAAGAACAGTTGCTCGAAACATGCCTAGAAAAAAATGTGTTTCTGTATTGTGTTTTTAACAGTGATTTTTAATTTATTGCACACTAGTCATATGACTAGATGACTAAAGTGAATACTAAAATTATTATACTAGAAAACACGACTAGAATAAATAAGAGATGGACAGTCTCAAACATACACATCACACCAAAAGTATTTAGTTGATGTTAAGAAGAATTACTTCCTGTACATTATTCTCAAACTTACACATCACACCAAAAGTATTCATTTTAGGTTAAGAAGAAATGTTTCTGCCCATTATTTTCAAACATACAAATTGCAGAAGAAATGTCTCCTGCATGTTATTCTTGAAGTGTTTGAACTGCAAAAAGGAATCTCTCTCTCTCTAGGTACTATATCCAGTTTGAACTTTGGCGATCATGGTTCTCCATAGGTTCCTGTCTTTTGTACATTTCAAAATCTCAGTCACACTGACGCAAGAAGGAATACAAACTAAAAATAACAATAACACATAATATTCTCTGGTAAAGAGCTTTGGATTTTATACACTGCATATGTGTCACATCTTTACAACACAGATTTGTGATAACCTTTATGTGATCCAGGAACAAACTTTAAACAGCCATTATCCAATGTCACTTCCTCCAGAGGAAACCATAAACCAAGAACCGATGGAGGATCAGTGTGGAGAAATGTTGAATCTTGGTGAGCTTTTACTAAATAGAAACACATTAAAATTCATCTTTTATTATAACTCTCACAACTGATAAAAACATGTTCAACTCTACAATCACAGATTTGGTCATTTTGACAAACCTTTTAACCATGAGAAATTCAGGGACATTTTTTTTTTGAAAGATAGGAGGTCCATAAAATGTGGGTTTGACATTCTTGTTTATTTTATATCTCAGTAAAGCTTGGAGACTATAATTTTACACTATGGTTTAGCAACATCTATAGTATAAGTGTGTAATCTGTGGCACACTCAGAAGATCACATAAGGATAGAAATGAATTCTAAAATGGGCAATTTGGAGTGAAGAAATGTCACATGATGCAGAAAAGTGAAGATTGAGAATTTATTAAAGTATTTGTTTTCAAAATTAAAACTTATATAATATTAAACTTTGAATTACAAACTAAGTTTTGATGCTAAATTTATTGACATACGTCAATAGAAAATTTTAAATTAAGTTTTAAGGTAACTCTGTAAAAAGGCTGTGACACGAGCACTTTGACCCACCCAAGTTTCATTTCTTCACTGAAATAGCTTGAACAGTATTTCATAACATATTCAAATTTGATGAATGAACTATCACTATGGCTTGATCTTTCACATTATCTTAAAAAATACCCACATGTTCTCAAGCCTAAAGTAAAAGTCATATTTAAGTACTATCAATATATCTACATCGTGATTTAAAAGTTTATTGCAATTATATTTAATCTAATTGAAATAGCTACAACAAAATAAAATTAAACATATTTTTTGAGTGAAATTAAAAAAAAAATAATTATACAAAATATTTTCAAATATTTTGGGGATTTTATGCCTAGCTCTTACCCAAATATATCATATTTTTACACTTCAAACTCATAACTACTGTTTGTTTTGGATATTCAAACAAAGTTTTTTGAGGGCTATCTGTGCTAGCCATCCCTAATTTTGAACTGACAAATTAGAGGAAAAGCAGCTAGTCAACAGCACTCACCACCAGCTCATGGGCCACTCTAGTAAAAAGAGGGATTTGATAACTCTTATAATGCACCTACAGTCCCAAAGTACAGAGTGTGATTTTGTGGGAACACGATGCAAACCATGGACCTTCAAATCCATAGTCTGCCATGCAAACTACTAGGTCATGTCCAGTTTCATAAAAACAGACTCTGAACTATGCTTCAATAAATCATTTACTGTTAAAAGATTTAAGTATTTAATAGAGTAGAATGAAATTAAATACTTTTGTATGTACAAAACACATGCAGATTTTCATGACAGTAGTTAGTGATTACACCGGGAACATTAAATATAAAATTGAGAAACAGAAAAAACAAACAAACTTTCTCATTACCTGTATTAAATAGATCTAAAGACATACCCGTACAGTACGTAGTCTTTGGTTTCAAGATTTTAGTTGCTTTATTTAAGAGTAAACAAATATTTGAAATAACTGTAAATAAGACCCAAAACTCAAGCACTTTCGAATAGTTCACTATTCTTCTTCTTCTTCTCCTGAAGATGAATAGTCAACTATTCAAAAGCGCTCGAGTTTTGGGTCTTATTTACAGTTATTTCAAATATTTGTTTACTCTTAAATAAAGCAACTAAAATCTTGAAACCAAAGACTACGTACTGTACGGGTATGTCT